AAAAATATATAAGGTCTGGGAAGAGTGTCAACCAACTGTTACAAGAGTCATTCCTCTTGGAAATAGAACTATAAGGAAAATACTTTGTAAGTGATCTCATGTCTATATTTCTTGTAAGGTAATTATTTAAAGTAAAAAAAATTTTTTTAGTTATTGCCCTTGGAAATATAAAATATGTTCAAAGATGGGGACCTTGGAACTCTATTCTTAAATAATACTAAGTATTAAGAATGTTGTATAAATTAGCATGTGATGACTTTCTAGAACTGAATTAGCAGCATAGTCTGTATCCATAGCATGTGGTGACTTTCTAGAACTGAATTAGCAGCATAGTCTGTATCCATAACAAACATGTACAACTATTCCTTAATCATCCATTCACTTTCTGTACCACATATTTGAACATATAGTCCTGCACATCCATGTAAATGTTATCTTTATCATCAGTATTCTGTATGGAAACATTTACACAAATTACTTAATAATCTTGTGAAACATTGATTGAATAAATTCTGGTGGATTTAATGTGAGAGCTGTAATAATGCATACAATATTAAATCAGCATACACTGAATTAAATGGATATATTCATGGCAAGTCTTATTTTTCTTTCAAGTCAAATTTAAGTTTGTTATTTTTTCTCTGTGTGTGTGTAGTTTATATGAAAATTATGATACAGTAAGTTAAACAAATATATTCAGAACTGGAGATTGGTTTTATAATTTAGCTTATGAATAATGAAGTCTTCTGTATTGAATTGTCATTATTATGTAAATTTAAACTTTAGAATTGATAAAAAGTAGCATTAAAGCACTTAGATAAACAAAAAACCTTATGACATTAAAATCTTGGGAAAATAGATGAACAACAATTCCCCCAAAAACTCCATGGGACTTTTATTGTTTATCATGAAGCTTTTGGCAGAGAAAATAAACAATGCTTGAGCAGTCAGTTACAAGAATGGACTAATGTAACTGAAATCGGCAGCATGTTTGTTTATCAGATTGAACTCAGAGCCTGCATTATAAAAAAATTCTATCTCAAATGTCACTGTGTTTCACTTATACTGATAGAGTTGCCTCCCTGTGTTCAATATTGACAATTTTTCTTTCAGTTGTGAATACACTTTGCTGATATCTATACTGTTATTCACCCGTGAACCTTTTTTACACGACTCTTGGATTTTTACATGAAAATATTTTTGTCTTACTATGGGTTGAAACCACCCCATTAATATACACAGACTCATTAAATGAAGGAAAATGGGTTTTTTAACACCCTCTTCTGAATTGAAATCTTATAAGAACTGAAATAAATATTTGGAATGAGATGTTGTGATCAGTTTACATGATGATTGACATGATGTAATACGCCATTAGCTATGTTAGACTATTGAGGAAGTTAATCTGACACATATTATGTATACCATTTATCAACACAATTTGGATTTCTTCCCTATTTTTGTGCTTTATTTAATTATAGTATAATCAATATTAATAAGTGCAATAGTTGATTTTTTTTTAAACCATGGCAAAAACTGATAGTAAAAAAATTGAATTCAAAAACGATATTTGAATATGTAAGGAAAGCTTGAAATATGATTGTACTAAGATCATAAAACTGCAGCAAGGAAAGCTTGAAATATGATTGTACTAAGGTCATAAAACTGCAGCAAGGAAAGCTTGAAATATGATTGTACTTAAAGGTCATAAAACTGCAATGATTATAGTGGGCACTCAACATATTTTTCTTTCAGTGGTAAAGAAAAAATAACAGATAAATAGCCATATTTATATGAGGATTATAATTAGAGGGTTTTATTGAATTTTTTCTATAGATAATAACAGGATATTTCCTCTGGTATATCATCGTGCAGGAAAGAATTATTGTCTCAGAACAAACAATCAAAAGCAGCGTGGTTGTCTGTTTGATAATTGTGACAAGTTTGTTCAGACATCGTATTGAATTTGTTTATAAACCATGGACAGAAAACAATTTCCATTGTAGTTTTGAGGCACTTAATAAGGCCAATCATTGGATGTTGTTTAAGAATAACTTGATTCTTGATTCCATCACAAAATTTTCAACAAGTTTCTCAAAACTGTAATGAGAATTTGGAATTGAAATAATATTGAATTTCTGTTGGAGTTAGCTATATGACTCATTATGACGGATTCTTCTGTATTTGATAAGTATTCTCTGAGGAATTGTGTACTGAGGTTACAAATCATTATTGATACTGGACTTTATCATTGATGACCATTCTTTGTTAGTCACATGTCTATGAAGACATTATTTCTATTATCTTGGTTGTATATAAGTTTGTATCCTTGTGATAAAGAAGCTGGCTTGATTAAGGACTGATTATGATAATGTAAAGAAGCTGGCTTACCTTTATATGGTTTTCACAACTAATTAAAGACTGATCTTGATTTATGATGTTAATGGAAAAAGCATGCAAAGATGTTAGACAATTGGAATATTGACTTTTATCATCTGACATCACAAATAACTTTATATTACAAGATATCATAAAATGTCTCTCATTAAATTATAGTTCCAATGGGGAGAGTCAGTTCTGCAATTGTTTTCATGTTGACCATATGAGACCAGCTTTTGTTAAATAGCTCTTTATTGATTTGGTTTGAAGACAATAATTAAATTCAATGCTAAAATTCATGATGGCTGTAATAATCAAAGTGTCAAATCACTGTCAGACAAGCATGTCTTTATACAGTGTAATCTAGTTTCAGCTGTCTTAACCTGTTACTTACTGGCATACAAGTAAAAAAAACTAGCAACAAGTAGAATTTTCAGTTGGTATGTGATTATCAGTGGCAATATTAGGATTAGAATTTTTGCTTGAATTGCTGATAAACATCTGCTACATTGCATCAGGAACGTTGATTATTAAATTAAAGTGTTAAATAATCGATAAGTTTTGTTTCTCAGAAACAAATTGATGATTTACTAAGAAAATTCTACCAATTACCTGTTTATGTTGAGCTGAACACAGAGCACAGGGAAGTGCAATATGTTGTAATTAAAAGCAGTCCTGTGGATTAGTACAACAACAAAAATAGAAAATTGTAGATGATAAAAGATATTTGTCTTGAAAATGGATGAAAAGATTTGATTGCTTCAGTCAAAGATTATGTATAAATTGACTGGAGGCTAGAGGTAATCAGTGTGTATCTAAAGTTGGTATTTTATTACTTCCGATCATTTTCTACATGTATCAATTCAATTTCTTAGTGACTTGTGAGACTTGACAGTGGGTTGGAGATGGATAATCTTATTATTGTTTTATGAGAGACTATTAGACGCTGTAAGGATTGGCATCAATTGTAAAATTCTATTCCGTTCTGAACATAGCGGCCTCGATCATTACAAGTTATTGCTAGTAGGATGTAATTTTAATAAGTAAAAAGTGAATGGATTAATGGAGAGTTATAGTGATGTTAATTAAGTAAAGTATAGTTCTTTTTAGTGCCTACCGAGATCTAACAGAAAACATACTGCATTATTATTATAAACACTATAAGAAAAGATCTTTTGAAGTTAACATTCGACAGGAAAAGGCAGAAAATTATTGGCAGATGATCAATTTTCATAGAAATTTTCTGGTGATTTTATGTTGAAAAGTATATTGTGATTAAACAATCATCTATTGGTTTATCTTCTTCTTACTTAATGGATGTTACTTGTAATTGGTACAATTTCTCAATTAATTTGGACAATTTTGAATGTTAAATCAATCTTATAGCAACCTTAAAAATGAAATTACTCAAGTAAAAAGGATGAAATATTCATAGCAGCCTTGGGAATAATTACAAAGATTATAAGAATTGATTGTTCAAAAATCACTTGGTTTGATATAGTGTGAAGGAGTAATATTTTGAAATTCAAGATGAAATATCTGTTTATTCCAAGAGCTTCTGATCTTTTACTCTGACTTTATTTGTTTTCAATTTTGATTGAAAATAACAGTTACTAATTACCGGGTACTAAGGAGTTCAAGAAGGTCAACATGGCAAGTTTTTTAGCTGAGATATTTTCCTTGCCATGTTGTCCATTCATTAAGTTACTAGGATATTTTAAATGTGACAGAAAACATGATGACAGGTGAGAAGATGTTTCTCATTTTTGGTTAAAGATCCATGATTGTGTTGATATCTGGAACACACCAGGTATCTAGATCCAAAATCAGTGGAGAGATCAGAATCCCAAGGAGCAATTATGAAAGACCGCTAAAGGTGGGTAAGTAAAAACTGGATCCAAGTCCTATGAAGTATAATACTACATAGGAACCAGATTTTACTTACCCGCTATTTTTGGTCTGGTGTGATTACTCCTCGGGATTCTGATCCCTCCACTGATTTTGGGATCGGGATACCTGTTGTGTGGAAAGGATTAGTAGCTTTTAGTGAAATAAATGCCATTTTTGCACATAATAGATTAATATCTGTCTTTTTAAGCAAACTTGTTAAAATGGACATTGTTTTTATTTAATACAGGCTATAGGTTTACATTACATTAGAAAAGAAATGTATTAGCTGCCACAGTCAAATTACTGGTTTTATTGTCAGACAACTTTTATTTTTCATATATAATGATATCATTCATGGTATCAAGCATTATGGTATCTACATGATCTATATCAAATTCAGTTTTTTTTGCCAGTGTGTTTTTTCTTCTTTGTAAGTTGGGAAATCAGAATTAATTCTTTATTTTGAAAGACTGATTTACATTCTGTTGTGTGAATAGTGTTTCTCTCTATGGACATCCTGAACAGACCCTTTCAATATTTTTTGTACCTGTCATGTAGTTGTTATTTTGTTTTGCAGTGATGGTGGATTCCTCTCACATCAGACCCTTTCAATCTTTTTTGTACCTGTCATGAAGTTGTTATTTTGTTTTGGAGTGATGGTGGATTCCTCTCACATCAGACCCTTTCAATCTTTTTTGTACCTGTTATGTAATAATTATTTTGTTTTGCAGTGATGGTGGATTCCTCTCACATAATGCACCCAAAGATACATATCCACAACCCATACCCACAAAGAAAGTCATCTTTCCGGCCAACGGCTCGGCGACAAAAGATGTGCCGAACCATACAGAAAACGATCTTCCTACGTACAATGATTACGTGGTGAGTACATTTGTGATTTGATTTGATTTTTGGTGTTTAAACACCACTTTTAAGCACCGCTTTTGGGCTATTTCGTGGCGGCCAGTTTTTATTGGTGGAGGAAGCCGGAGTGCCCGGAGAAAACCACCGACCTTCGATAGGAAAACTGGCAATCCTAGTCAATTAAGATTGGAGTCAAGTGCACCTGCACGAGCGGGGTTCGAACTCACAACCTCAGTGTTGACTGGCTAGTGATTACAGTAGTAACTACTTAGACCACTCGGCCACCGAGGCCCCGAGTACATTTGTGATATTATGCGGAGCACACTTATGATTATTGTTGAGTACATCTGTGATTACATGCTGATCATACTTGTGATTACATTGTGAGTATACTTGTTTTACATGTTGAGTATACTTGCAGTTACATGGTTAGTACATTTAATATGATACTCACCTTTAATCAATTTTCTGACCAATGGATTGTGATGAAAGATATGAAGGATGTTCATTTATTCATAGTAAGTTTAAACAAATAAAGTCAACAGGAGAAGTTCCTACCGGTACAGAAAATAATTTCTGCATGAAATGATTACCAAGTTGGTATACTGAGTGGATCAGTGGGTAGGTGAAAAATCTGTACCCCTCCCCAACAAGCCAGCATCAGTGGGTAGGTAGAAAAGTGTTTACCCCTCCCCAACTACCCATTACCTAGATGAACATGAGATGATTGCAATCTAGATTTCCCAGACAGAGACAGGTAATAAATTATTCATCATGCAAAGATGACCAGTCCTGTCTAAATTAAAGTCACCTGAATATAAAAGTGATGGACAAACTGGTATCTGATACTTTGATGTGAAAATATTTAACTTCACTGCAAATAGATTATTATTCAATAGATGGGATTATTTTTTGTTTTTATATGACCGCAAAATGCGGTCGTATATTGGTATGCAATGGCGGCGTTGTTGGCGTCGTCGTCGTTGTCGTCCGAAGACACATTGGTTTTCACACTCTAACTTTAATTTAAGTGAATGGATCTCTATGAAATTTTACCATAAGATTCAATACCACAAAAGGAAGGTTGGGATTGATTTTTGGGGTTATGGTACCAACAGTAAAGGAATTAGGGGTCAAAAGGGGGCCAAAATTAAGCATTTTTGTAACTTCCAGACATAACTTGTGTGTTAGTGTATGGATCTCTCTGACATTGTACCACAAGGTTCCATATCACAAAGGAAATGCTGAGATTGATTTGGGGGGTAATTGCCTCGAAATTTTAGGAATTAGGGGCCAAAAAGGGGCAAAAAACAAGCATTTTTCTAGTTTCAGGACAATAACTTGTGTGTAAGTGTATGGATCTTTCTGAAATTGTACTACAAGGTTCCATATCACAAAAGAAAAGCTGGAATTGAGTTTGGGGGTAATTGCCCAAAAGGTTTAGGAAAAAGGGGCCAAAAATAAGCATTTTTCTAGTTTCCAGACAATAACTTGTGTTCAAGTGTATGGATCTCTCTGGAATTGTACTGCATGGTACCATACCACAAAGGGAAGTCTGGGATTGAGTTTGGGGTGATGAATCATAAGGGGGTTCAAAAAATTGGGGGGGGGGGGGGTGGATTTTTTTTTTTTTTTATTTCCTTTTTTTTTCTTTAAAATTTTCCATTTTAAATTGGTTATTTCTGATTTATATATAAAAGCAAATAATAATGATATGGTTTGAATAGGTAAATTAAAAAAATTTAAGTTCTTAGACCACATTCATTCTGTGTCAGAAACCTATGTTGTGTCAAATATTTAATCACAATTCAAATTCAGTGCTGTATCAAGCTTGAATGTTGAGTCCATACTTGCCCGAACTGTTCAGGGTTGGACCTCTGCGGTCATATCAAGCTGCACCCAGCGGAGCATTTTATTGTTTTTTGAAGTAAACCAACAATCATCATGTATTGTTATATTTACCTTTTAACTGCTAATTAATTTCCTTATTTACATATAATGTGAAATAGAATGCTGTAATTCACTGGTCCCCACAATACAATATTACATTAAGAGATAAAACATTACAGGGTTCATTGCCCAAAGATTTCCCAAATCAAAATATAATTACAGGAAGAAAAGATATATTTATTGTCTGTCACATAGAACATTTCTTGTTAATGAATGTCAACATCTTCATTACAACATAAATTCCCATCATTTTGCACTTTAATAAGCTTACAACCTCAATACACCATAAGAAGGGAGATAACTCCAGCTCAAATAGAATTAATTAAAGAATTGACAAACAGTTATTGAAGTATTGATTAAAAAATAACAAGACTTTGGGTGGATAATAATATAGATAACAAGAGAAATTATATATGTCAATGTGAATGATTTGTAGATAACTAGTTGGAACTCTTCCTGAGTAAAATTAATGTGCTAAACTATTGTAAAAGTGTTAATGTTTTGAAGGTTTGAAAATTAGTACACTGAAAAAAATAGTAAAATACATATGATATTATAAATAAATAGATAAGTACCCTTAAAAATACTATAATACTATAGAATAGGGACACAATGAAAATTAATTTGTTTCTAGTGGTTCCATTTTGGATTTTCCATATTTGAAAAAAAAAGGTTCAGTAAACATTGCTCTTTTGATATCTTATTCAGTCAGCAAGCTGACTATTTAGGACAACCAGAAATGAGCTTAAAATAGTTCTTGAATAGTATGCACTGATCACTTTGCAAAATTACACAAAAAAACAGTGACAGTTATTGTTTGTGGCTTCCATTTATTGTTTGTTTTTAATGTTATAAATGTGTAAAATTGTGACCTCAACCTGGTCTAGACAGACCAATTACAATTGTGTATTTTTATTATCTGATCTGTCAAGAAAATTGTGTCCTTCATTCATAAAGCAAATAATTAATGGGGCCAGCAATTCTAAACAATGTACATCATTTACATAGAATTAAATATGGCTGGTGGACTCTGTTAAACAGTAACTAATTGAAGCCTAATTATCTCTTAAATTCTATCTCCAAAACATTATATGTTGGTAAACCTTTTGTATGTGTTGTTTAAATGTGTGTGTGTGTGTGTGTCTGAAAGTCACAAAATCTCTTATTGTTTACACAAAGAAGAATAAATTTTGACAGAGTCACTGCAATTTTATGTTGTTGCTATTTTCCATGGTAGCAACAGATCTGCAGAGCAGCCACTCCAACCTTCCTTTTATGAACTTATTTCCAGAATCATGAATCTGACTATGAAATTATATTTGAAGAAAGTTGATTCCCTAGCTGTGAAAAAAACCAACAATGAAACCTAGGTAGACATATATGTCTGGATGTTTTCAATGTTAAGTTTCTCTCTAATACTTTACATCTCGTTGCTTTCAAACAATCTCTGTGGTTTTGTGGTAGCATGTATGCCTAGACTGCCAGAAGTCACAGGTTCAATCCCTGCTTGTTCTATATTTAAGACTTATAAAAATAAGAAGATGTGTTATGAATGCCAATGAGACAACTCTCCATAAGAAACCACACGACTCAGATATTAACAACTATAGGTCACTGTACTGCCTTCAACAATGAGTAAAACCCATACCGCATAATCAGCTATAAAAGGCCCCGAAATGACAAATGTAAAACAATTCAAACAAGAAAACTAACGGCCTGATTTATGAACAAAATAATGAACGAAAAACAAATATGATATACAGCAACAAACGATAACCACTGAATAACAGTCTCGAGACTTGGGACAGGCACATACAGAATGTGGCGGGGTTAAACTAGTTTGAAGGCGCCAACCCTCCCCTAACTTGGAATAGTGGTGTAACACTACAACATAAGAACAAACTATAAAAATCAGTTGAAAAGGGCTTAAGTCATCAGATGGATACAAAACAGAAATACATCTAGCAAAAACACAGAGTGGATGTGGCAGGGTACTTATACAACTCCACAACACAAAGACACTAAATACAGATCTGAGAGTATTTGAATATTTGTATTTGCTCCTTTGCTGCAATGCAAGCATCATTTACTAGAAAAGACTGGTCAATGTGAACTTGCATTTCAAAATTCCAGCTCATTGTGTTGGTAACTTTTAAAGCATGGTTCATTGTATGTTTGTCTGAATCATCACCTACAACCGTTCCTCCATTGATATAATTTTCTTTGAGAATATAACACATTACAGATGATGTATTCTTATATTTAAACCTGTTTAAAGTGTCATAGAAAGTAGTTAAATTGTTCATGATTTAAACTGTCTCAAGTGTCATAGAAAGTGCATGATTTAAATCTGTTTAAAGTGTCATAGAAAGTAATTAAATGGTTTATGATTTAAACCTGTTTAAGTAGTTAAATGGTTCATGATTTAAACCTGTTTAAGTAGTTAAATGGTTCATGATTTAAACCTGTTTAAGTAGTTAAATGGTTCATGATTTAAACCTGTTTGAGTAGTTAAATGGTTCATGATTTAAAACTGTTAAAATTGTCATAGAAAGTGCTTGATTTAAAGCTGTTTAAAGTTTCATAGAAAGTAGTTCATGGTTTAAAGAAATTCAATGATGATAACTGCAATTCAAAATGACAAATTGCTTCAAACTGAAGGTATCAAAATTTGGTTAATTATGCAGGAATTTCGATAGGATTTTTTTAAATATTGTAAAAAGTAATGTTCATTACTAAGTTATACTATAGATCATATTGACAAGAAAAACGGTAATTCACCATGCATGTTAGATATCCATCAAATAGGAAAAATTTTAATTTAAAATGCCAAAAAATTATTATGCACTTTCCATTTACATATATAGTAATGTTTTGAATAATTTATTGACTTGGAGTCTTGAAAACTGAATACTTTATACAGCCTACACATGTTAACTATTAAGTATCACAAAGGAGAAACCAACATTTTCAAAATCTTTTTTGCTGAACATGCAATTTCAAAAGTTTAATGTATTAAATTTTCAATTCCAGTTTAAAAAAATCTTATTTTCATACTTATCTTCAAT